CTAAGTGGAAGCAGGAAAAAAGCAGCCTGGAAAATAATTAGATCTTACACAGTTTTGGGTTATTTTTAAACTTTACAGTAACTGGCAAATCCTGTTTCCAGTAAGACTGTGGTGCCTGTGCATGCTGATCCTTTCCTGGATGCATCCTGCACTCTGAAGCCAAAGGGTATCACTCCAGAGAGGAGGATCTGGATGCAGATCCCAGCCCAGGCTCAGCTCCCCATTACTGCTAAGCTCATGTTCTCCACCTGCCTTGGCTGAAATTCACTCAGAGTGACCATCTCACTGTGCCAAGCTACAGAAGAAGCTCAGATCAATCAACAACTGTGAGAAGAAAGACAAATCCCCCAAATAAAATCCACCATCATCCAATCAACCCCATTTTGATGGTGACATTGCTGAGCCTCAGGCAGGTACATGTGCATTGTAGAGCACATGTACCCTCAGTGCCCTGTGCCTGCCTGGGAAGGCTTTGGTGTAGTGCAGCAGCTGCTGGGACATTCCAGGGATGTAAACAATACACAAATTCTGAAGAGATGCAATATCCTCTCTGAGACAAATCACTGCAGCTGGAACAAACAGGCTTTTGGGAACACAGCCTTGTTTCAGCTCTGCACAGGGTTTGTTTGGAGGGGCATCTATATATGGCAGGCTGGAAATTCCCCATTTGGAAAGCAGCTTTGCAGCACTGGGATAAGGATGTTGGGAAAAGCTCTCCTTTGTGCTGCCCAGCACAGGTGGGAAGTTACCCCAGGTGTCAGGAATCCAACTGGTCTTGGGCTGCAAGGCCAAAGCTCAGCCAGTCCCTGCTGAGACATCAGCCCAATTCTGACCCAGAGGATGCTGAGAGCAACTGAAATACCAACAGCATTCACAGCCAGCTCCAGGTTTCCCCCCAAACTCATCCAACTGCCCCACTGTGTCCCACTTAACTTCACACAGCCACAGGCTGCATGGCCAGAGGGCAAGAACTGAACTCCCTGACCCCAGAAATGCCAGTCAGGCTCCCAGCAGAGGATCATCAGTCCCTGTGTTGTCACTTCTCCATTAACAGTGTGTCATGTAGACTTCAGCCTCAAGTCAGCTCTTATTTTCATTTGACTTGGGAGACAAACTACAAAAATAGAAGTGTTTACTCTGCATTCACCAGTTTTATGTTTCTCAGAAGCTGATCAGGGTCTAGAGATGACTCCACAGTGAGGTCAGGTCTAGCTGATAGATGATCTCTTTCATCCCAAAGCATCCTAAAGAGTCACACAACACTAGTATTCTTCACAAGCCACTTCTGGGGTGAAGTGCAGCAGCAGCCTAAGCTCTCAGCCCTGAATTCAGGGTACCTCAAGGCCTGAGATTTCATTTTCTCCTTGCTCCTGCCTGGAATTGCTGCAATTCCTTTGACTCTTCGTAACTGCTCACAGCCAGAGCAGCCTACCCCACACAGGTTTGGAGTAGTGAAGGGGTAAACCAGGAGGAACAGCAAAAGACAACAGGGATCTTTGCTCTCTCAGAGGCCTCTGGATGTTTCCTGTTGCCAGGTAGGTCAGAAATAGCCAAGTTCTCCTGCCTTGTCTCTCCTTGTCACTGTAAGGTCTCCCCTGGGTGTGCAGCAGGCTGAGTTAAGAGCTACTGGGTTGTCATGATGCATCCTCCACCCCTCTGCAGAGATGCCAGTGCTGTCCACATGCATCAGCTTCCCTGCCAAGGAAGAGCAGAGAGAGCTCTTTGCCTTACTGCTCCATCCCCAGCTTTCAGCTCAGCCCAGGACGAGGAGACACCACTGCTAGGGGAGGAGGACACAGATGGGCAAAACCAGTTGACTTCTGGAGCCTGAGGCTTCCCCAGAACAGTGTTCTCAATCCCTGCTCACTGCTGCCATAGTTCAGTGGGTAAAGAACTGTCCACAGTGCCAGGAACTGCACAGGAGTGAGGGTACAAACCTGGGGGGACCCTGACAGTCCTCTCCATTGGCTCCTTAGGAGCATTATCTCTTGCCAAAGAATGGAAGACTTGTGTTAAAAGCTCCAGAGCTGCCCAGTCCCATAGAGGACTTTGGGAGGAGTGGC